TGTACTTTTCGGTGCGAAAATGTTCATACTGTGAGACATTTGTGTAATAAAGAATGATTGAAAGGTCTGGAGTTTATTTCCAAGGTTTGCTGCCTCAGCGATTCCAGCTGCGCCCATTGCACCTGCTGTAGCTGCCACACCTGTTGCTAGATTTGCTGCCGCGTCACCCGTTGCAGCTGCTGCTCCCGTCGCAGCTGCCTCCATCCGCAGCAAGATTTAGCGCTCCGGCTTCAATAGTAGCTGCTCCAGCCATAGAAAGATTTGCCCCCGCAGCTGCAGCAATCCCAGCTGCCTCAGCTGCTGCTAGAGCAGCTAAGTTGGCTTCAACACCTACCTCTAGGACATCTGAAAGACTTGCAGCTGCTCAACATGCTCAACAAGATGCCCCTCAGGCAGCAGCAAGATTTGCTCAGAATCAGCAACAGCAACAACAGCAGCAGCAACAACAGTTAGCTTAACAGTTCCAAGAGCAGCAGCCAAGGTTCCAGCAGCAACAGCTTGAACACCAACAGTTTCACCAAGAGCAACAGCAAAGTGGTGCTGATAGATCAGCTAACCTCGAAGACTCAGTAACTGTTCAAGCCGGCCCAAATCAACAACATCAACAACCCTACGGTGCTCAAGCTGCTCAACAGCGCCAAGCTCAACCTTCTGCTAAGGCACCAGCTTACTTAGCACCTAGATTTCTGTAATTTTATGATGGCATGTAAATGATGTAAATATGTTCTGTAGATATCGAATTGTATGTTTTCTTTACGGAAATGTTTCTTGTACCTTTCGGTGCGAAAATGTTCATACTGTGAGACATTTGTGCTGTTTTTTTTGTTACATTTATATAATAAAGAATGATTGAAGGGTCTGGAATTTCTTTCCAAGTGCATTTGAGATGAAAATTCATTTTCATGCCAAAGAGCAAATATTAAATATTTTTATAGAGTGTAATTTCGAATCCGGAATTATAATTATTTAAGGAATATGTTAAGGATGTGAAAAATGGCTATGATTAATATTTAAATTTTTTATTATTATTTTATTTAATATTCAAAGCTACTGAATACAGAAATGAATGACCTAAAACATGATCTTCCTTACTCATCTTAAAGGGGCAATATTGTCATACTGTACCTCTGCATTTCCTAGCCTAGCCTAGCTCAGTGCCCCAACATACACATTGATCTTCGGATTTTATTATATTTTTGCATAAACTTTTTTAAAAATGGACATGGGTATAATATATAGTCCATTTTTTAAGAAAGAAACTAAACCTAAACATATTCACGCACATTTCACGTGACTCCGTGCACGCTAAGGGACTGTCGAGGCTGCATGCACCGCCGTGTGGTCTCCCAGTCCACTCTCCTGTATATGGGCTGATTCTGCCCAATAAAAGCTATGCTTCCCGTTCCTTGAGATTTATCACGCACTAAACTACTGTTTTGGTTTAACGTCTTTCTTGAATAATTAGACTTTAGTTATTTGCTGGCTTGACTAATAAAATACCCATTTTCAGAGACTCTGTACTGAACTTTCAGTGAGAATATATAGTTGCTCGAGTTCTTGGTATGATTATGAAAGGAGTAGGAAAGCACAAAATATATATTATATATTTTTTCAAAAACAAGAAAATCGTAGATTCGCTTTCATGATTTAAGCTTTTTGGGCTTAAAAATGATAAAATTCCGAGTCAAACTAGAGATCCGGTAATCGTTGGTGTTGGATATAGAAAGTATTTTTTTAATTCATCCAATCTATTAGAATTTGGCACGTACGGAGTTTTCCCTGAAAATCTAAGTTGAGTCGAATAAGAAAACACGTCAAGCCCCCCAAAGATAATTTAACGGATGCAGAAGCGTTTTCCTCAAGCAGTGCGAGTTAAATTTCCAGCGATCAGTTTGTACATTCCAGTTTCAACAAATTTTGGCTAAATCGGGTAATAGCTCAAATTTGACACCTTTGTTCATTTGAACTTTTATTCTTAGAATTACCCAGGAATCATCCCTTGATGTTTGGCTAGGTGGTCCATTAACATCCTGTATGCTTAGCGCCTCTTGTAAATAGAGAAAAGGAGACAAGATACGTTGGAAAATATGTGCTTACGTTGGCTTTTATTTGAAAAAGATCTGCCAATCTGTCGTTATGAATTATAGAAATTTAAAAGAATTTTTGTTGTTATCTTTCAATTATCGTGATACATGTAATCTACAGATCTTGGGAAGAACTGAAAGACGTCCTTTGATTTCCAAAAAATTGTAGAAACCGAATTCTTTACATTTTGGGCATATCCCAAAAAAAAAGATAGCTAAAGCACAGGTGGCTAAATCTACCTGTTGATACGATTAGAAGGTTCTTATATACTGGAATAGCCAAGAAGGCAGAGCCTAAATACAGAAGTACGGCGACTGCTTATGGAAAAGTTGGAAGTAATATTACTGATCCGATTTTTGAACTGCTTACACTTAGTAAAAGTGGTAAATTCCGCCAAATTGTTCTATATTCGTAATATCCCAAGGAACAAAGGAGGTAGCAGTCAGTTTTCGATGTACACAGATTATCGTATGTTGTTTGACAGGCTTAAGAAACGGAGGCATCGTAGCAGAATTTTAAAGAGCAAAGCCTTAATGCATACCGCAGATGACCGAACGCTTATTAATGTGAGAGGGGCTTTAGGTGTTTGCCAAGGAAGCGTTATGAGATGGAGACCTCTTTTTTGAGCAGCATCAAATGTCGTCGAGTACCAGTACTAAATATTGGTGAATACTGTTTCGGGCTGGGTATTATTTTAAGCTTGTACAAAGTTAGGACGTTAGATGGTAAATAGTACTTCCAAGTTCCAAGCAAATAACTGTATTTCTAGCTGCGATTGACGAGACGTGTTCGTGACAAATCAGATCCTCAGACATCTGAGCTCCAATAAGCTGCATCAAATGGCTTCCTGGCAATGCTCGGTCACCTAATAAAATGATTGAGAGCCTGCATTTTTATCGTCTGTCTCTAGGAATACGAAAGGTAAGGATCATCCTGTAGAACCTTTCTGGTTCGTCATACTCTAGTACCTAAGTTCATCTCAGTTTTCGAGCACCTTACCTTCCGGTGAAAGATTTTCATAGATTCTAAAGCCGTACATTGTGTAAGTATACAAAATAGTCTTTATTTTCTCTACATTCAAAGTTGCAGTCTATTAATAATGTCTTAACACTAATTAGATATCAATTAAACCATCTAGCTAACAACTACAGGAGCTCCACTGTATGAGGAACAACGTAAGTCGGATATTACGCACATTATTATTCAAAGCATATTGTCACCTTATAGCCAAAACCAGTCATAACACAGAATACGTGCAGTCTTGCACCCTTCTTCGACAATGCTATCAATTCTAACGCCTTTGAAGGCTGACTTTTATAGATAGTAAATGTTATTGACATGCAGATATAAAATGCCGACTGAAAAGAGTTATTGTATCAGTTTACTACCATCGTGGTATCCAAGCAACTAGTTTCGAAAAGCACTGCATACCCTAATATACAATGTTTAAACTTGTAAGTAATTTTCGAAATATTTTCATACACATAGGGCAAAATTTCAGGGGTTGATTTTTAGGCCTATAATAAGCATCTTTTTATGATTTTCGCCGTATTTCTTTAGATTTTTAGCTTTGCTAATTCGGTTATTTTCCACCAGCGTCGCCATATTGGAAAAATGACGTCCAAAAATCATTTTTTGACAATAGTTCTGTAATGAACTGAATATGAAGAAATTTCCTACAATTTAACAGCATGCCTTTTGGTATATAATACAGCATTCTATACAATTAACTGAATGACTGGTTTTATAGCAGAATGATTTGGACATAGATATTTTCAAAAAACCGTCTTCGTGCGCCGAAACCGTTCAACCCGTAAAAAACTATTAATATACAAGTCATAGGAATGTTTCTCTAGTTTAATTTGCCACTATTTTATTTTAAAAAGTCTGAATGAAGACAATGTCAAAGGGTGTTTGGTACATGACACGACAATTTGTTCTGGGTATTTCGGGAGGCTATTAATTTAGGATTATCGGAAACCTAAGCGCTACGATTGCACCTATATGATTTCTTTGCTTTTTTGCTGAATTGTGTGAAATTAAAAAATGCTAGATTTTTTGTTTGTCAAGATAACACTGAATAAACGCGGCTGGATTTGGTAATTGCATGCTTAATCAGAGCAAATAAATAGTCTGTACCTCAAGTATCGAAACATTATTTATAGTATAAAATTCGGTTACAAATAAATTCGACGGTTTTTGGATTTTAGCTTTACTTAGGAAAGTCCTGAATTCTATTATCTTTCTAACAATATGATACCCATCATAGAAACAATTTCAAGTTTTTATTTAATTTGGATCAGTTACAAGCAATTTTCTAAACCAAAGCAACAAACAGGAAGTGTTTGGAATACCCCACATACAAGCAAACTTTCCTTTTTTTGATCGAGAGTAGCAATTTTTCAATATGGAAACGCGAACATTTCAAAACTTTCCCAAAACGTAAAACTATCAAATTATTGGACTATGAGTATGAAACTGTACGTATACTTTAGTTATACAGTCTAAACTGAATCCAAATTCAAGATGAGATGTAAATAATAACAGTTAGCGCGTGATCGCTCGGTAAAAGGTGGGGACAACGCCTCTTATTGGTCAATTCGCCATTAAATTTCAAGCGGTCGCCTGGCGGAATAATGCGCGGGGCAGGAGCAGAGCAGGCAGAGTTGTACTCAGGCCACCGTCCGTCGCGTGTATCACTGCGTGCTCGTGTTTTCGTATTCACCTTGCTTGGTTGTTGCTGTTGTTGTTTTAAGTGTATTTGAGTAATTTGTAGTTTCTGTTAAATACTGTTATCTTTGTTTTACAACACGTTGATGGTAGTCCATCACGCATCCATTCTATCTTGGGTGTAAACACACTATAGAATGAGTATCTATTAGAACCAAGATTCTGAAAATGTCCTGTCTTTCTAGGTATGCATCGCCGCTGTCCTGGCCCTGACCATGGCAGGTCCAGTTCCAGCCCCTGAAGCCAAGCCGGCCCCTAAGGCGAAGCCCCATGTCTACTACGAACCGATCGTATCCGCTCCTGTCGATGTCGAATACCTAGAGCATCACGAACCCCTTGTGGAGGTGGAACCCGTAGTGTATAGCAGTTACGTCGCTGCTCCCATTTATGCCTCTGATTATTATCACTCTCCTTATTATCATGATTTCCATGATCATTTTGACTTTGTTGTTTGATATGCTCGCTATTTGTATAGATATTTATTTGTAATAAAGAGGTTGATTTTATATGATTGTATTCTTGATCCCTACGGAAACAGGGGTATATCTCGTTGGTAATGGAAAAGGTTCGATTTTATCAAAGATAAAACTTGTGGACTTTTTGTTACGAAGTGGCGCTGACTAAGTAGAAGCCAGTCAAGGATTTGTTTGTCTCTTAATTCTCAATCTGCAGTGAGGGTCAAAGTGCACTTGACATACCTACATAGGCCAATTTTTTGACAGTTCTGTCATTAAGATTTGCTAGTCCGACCCAAGTTGCGGGTAAACTGAATCAGCCTTAAAAGCCATTTACTTGAGAAATTTCTCTTGGACATGTTCAATTAATACAACAGTTACATTCCAGTTTGGAACGTTTGTACACGAAGTATAAAGACTTTAATGAAGAAACATGTTTAATAAGCTTACAGTTTCTAATAATAAAACTTAGAGCTCGAATAGCATTATTGACAATTTGACAAATGTGACAGTCAATACGCATCCTACTGTCAAACGTCATACCCAAGTCACAAACCGTTTCATGCCGTGATAATACTTTTCCTAAAATAAAGTGTTGAAGTCTTATCAAAATGCGAATGTTACCTTCTCATTTATAGAGGCGCCAGGGGTTATTAGGGCTTAATGAATACTCAGGCGCCGATGGACCGATCTTCAATACCTATAAAGCCTATTCCCTTTTGCTATAATAATGACCTACCATAAAAGTTTCAACAAAACCTAGGTGGAACCTTTTTCATGTTGTTGTGAAACATACAAATTCGAAATGAAAGCCGTTTCAAGCAGTTTTATTTAAACAAAAATTACAAGAGTTCGAGCATTCATTTTCAAGCAGCTTATATTCGTCAAATTAATAAATTTTTCAACTGTTTCCACACACAACAAATTCGAATAGATTAGGAGTCAAGCCAAAACATTTACATTGCATTGTTTGTCGACAAAATTGTGTAGTTTTAGTGTATACCTTTGGCTAATCATTGCCTACCAGTTCTTGTTAATAAAAAGGTATAAATTATACAGGTTGTTCCTTAATGATATACAAACATTTAAGGGTGTGAATCTACATGAAAAATTAATGTTAGTTTGCTTTATAAACTATGGTCCAAAAACGTTTCCTTACAAAAACTCGAGGTGTTGAATTGAATACGTCAATAGTTTTTTGCCAAATAAAAATTATTTTTCAATTCCCCGTTCAATTTAAAACAAATAATCTTTCTTGAATTGTTTTCCTTTGATACGCCATTTTTGAGTAAAAAAATAAAAACCGTTCTATTGTCTAACTTACAAAATTATTATTAATTTAATCGGAAAAATTAAACACATTAGGGGTAATGAACAACAACAACTGACAACATAAACATAACATTAAAATCAACGAAATGATTACAAAAATTGTTGAAAACGGCCCCCTTTGCTTAGTATGCATGCTTCCGCCCACCTTCTCATGGAATCGTGCACTCGTTGAAATATCCCTGGAGTGTTTTTTATTCTATCACAAGCTGCAACTATTCTTTCTCTTAATTCCTCTACAGTGTGAATGGGGCTTGTGTACACTAGTAAGATAGCCCCACAAAAAGAAATCTAAACTGTTGAGGTCTGGGGACCTTGGTGGCCATTCTTGGGACCCACCGCGACCAAGCCAACGATTTGGATAAACAGTTTGTAAACAATTACGAACCGCTACACTGAAATGCGCTGGTGCACCATCATGCATGTACTACATATTGTTTCTTATTACTAACGGAACATCATCAAGCAGCAAAGGCAACTTTTGTTGAAGAAAATTGAGGTAAGTCTGTCCGTCAAGTAGTCCCGGCAAGAAGAGTGGGCCAATAAAGTGGTTGCCAATAATTCCTGCCCATATGTAAACCGAAAATTGGTGTTGGAAATGGGTTTCGGTTACGACATAGGGATTTTCTTCTGCCCACAAATGATTCTTGTGGAAATTCTGAATGGCATTTAGAGAAAAATTAGCTTCGTCCGTGAACATAACCATTGATTCAAATTGTGCATTTTGTATAATTTTTTTGAAGATACCACTGACAGAAGGTCATACGCCTCGGAAAATCAATGGGAAGTAATGCCTGTACTCTTAAAATAAGGTAAGGATACAACAACAAATCCACTGAAGTTCTCCAACCAATTTGATGGCAAATATTTATCTTCCTCGTACTCGTTTCAGGATGTTCTTCGACTTCGTGCAGCACTGATTCCTCAATTTCAGGTGTTCTCACACTTAGAGGTCACGTTCAGATGTTCCTTTTCGGACAGAACCAGTTTCAATAAGACGACTATGAATATTAGAAAAGGTTCGACTATCTGGCAAAGCATGATCGGGATATCTCTGGTGATAAATCCGTCTCGCTTGCTCAGCATTACCGTCGTCAAGGCCATATAAGTAATGCACTTCCGCTATTTGTGCATTTGAATAATTCACCATTATTAACAAGATTGTAAAAACTAAATAATGAAACAGATGTCACAGCGAACAGATTTGAATAACAGAAGCTTGTCAGATGCAAGTGACATATTCCAGAGCAACTAGATATTTATTGCTAAATTGCATTCCTCAATAATTACATTAATTTTCTCGCACAATAGAACGGTTTTTATTTTTTTACTCAAAAATGGCGCATCGAAGGAAAGCAGCTTAGGAGAGATCATTTGTTTTGAATTAAACGGAAAATTCAACAATAATTTTTATTAAGCAAAAAAACCATTGGCGTATCATTCTTTTCTTAAAAGATATCGAAGTCAATACCCGTACGCACGCCACTGTTAAAGCTAAAAATTATTTTTAGATTGAAAAATATGCAACTTTATTAACTTTCACTACATACTAAATATCAGTGAAATATCTGAAGCGGTTCTAAAAATATTAATTAATTTCCATTTTTTTTAAAACTTCAACACCCCCAGTTTTAGTACGGAAACATTTTTGGACAATAGTTTATAAAGCAAACTAACATTAATTTTTTATGTAGATTCACACCCTTAAATATTCGCATATCATTAAGGAATACCCTGTATCAGGCAAATAAACGGAAACAAATATTTATTAACGGTACACCATATGAACAAATCTGCTTAATTCGTGATTTTGGAAGGTGATAAATTGAAAAAATTGGCTTAATCGAGAAGCAGTAATGGCAAAACTCCTGACATTGGAAATAATGGGACACATTGTTTGAATTCTTCTCGGTTTTTCTGAATACCTGCTCAGATTCGATTTTTGACTAAAAGCAAATACCTACTTGAGCAAAATATGGATTTTACTGTTATTATCTAGTTGTTACTACATTTATCAAATAAAAAGATTTGGAAGTAATTCTGCTAATTTGACATCCATAGAATATAATCTTTTGACACTAAAATGAGAACATACAATTACTATTTATAAGGCAAGCGTAACGATATTTTCTAAGAACTTTTAGGTGAAAATTTAAAGTAGATAAGACTCAAAAGAGAAAGTTTAGATTAGCACTGATCCCTCAAAGAAACAAGAAGTGGAATGAAATAGATCAAAATTACCCCACAACTGTCCAGGTAAAAGCCCAATGTTGAGCAACAGGCCCCTTCTCAACGCCGATGACAAAATTAACAGTTATCGATGTAAAGATCTACTTTTACTCAGTTTCTGTCCTCCACAGAAACCTTCACCATTTTCCACGATCCTCTGGAGCACTAGTATTATATGGATCCATGTACCTTTAATCGTTTTCGCACAAAAACACGAATTTAATGTGAAAAGCCAACAGCTTAAAACACTAAGCGCGGTTTCACACACACCGATATTATCGGTGTCGTTATCGGAATCGGTATCGGAGAGTGCTTTCTTACACACCGATAAAAAAGTAAAACTTTGCGCCGTCTTTCATAAAAGGCCAGGGATCAGTGCGGTGTGTGTAGCGTCTCGGAACAGTTTATTATTTAATATGAACAAAAAAGCTGTGTTTTTATTATATTTGCTGTATTTGCGAAAAAAGAAGTGTCGAGAAAAAAGACGAAGACGATATTGGGTCCATCCCATATTATCTCAAAAATATGTAGAAGGAGCATTTTATACAATGTTTGAAAAATTGCGCGAGCATGATGAAAAGTTTTTTAACTACTTCAGAATGAGCACAGCTACATTTGACTACTTACTAGAAAAGTTATCATGTAGCTTACAAAGACAAGATACTCAAATGAGATTATGTGTACCTCCAAAAGAAATGCTGGCAATAACACTGAGGTAAGTGATTAAGGAAATTCTTTATTTGCATTTAAAGTAACATAACATATAAAAATTCTTACATAAACTTATCTTTGACAATAAAAATAATTCATACACTATTTTGGCAATGTTGTGAAACATCTTGTGAGGTGCTACTTGTTGATATATATGACCCTTCTTGAAAAAACGACTGATAGTTTGTCGTTGATGGGTTTGTTGCTTGTAGAATAGTATATGACGGAGATGAGACTGCAGAGAAATCAGACACAGGAGAAGTAGAAAAGGTGATGCTAGAGGTGCTTATGTGACGATTTCGTTTAATTTTTTGAATTAGCTGCAGTACTCCCATCCTAAACTCAATTTTTTCCTCTTCTGACATTGTTGTTATCATAGGAACAACGGAATTGAAGAATGACTCATCTTCATTGGAAGGTTCATTTAGTTTTTTCCTAATTTCCAATTCAATGGGGTCTGCAAGCCTCTTGCGGCCTTGGCGAGTTTTACTTACATGGGAACTTCTTGAACTGGCTTTAGATATTGCTGGTGTAGGTGGGACCTCATTTGAATTTTCAGTTTCTTCTCCTTGGTGCACTTCCTCATCCGAAATACTAGAGATCGTTTCATCTTTATTCATAACTTGTAACAAAAATTGCAGCTGATCATGGTAAACATATTTTCGTTCTGCACCCTGTCCACTCTTTTTCTTAAGGGATCTAACAAACGCATCTCTTATATTTTGCCACTTTGTTGTAATAGCGTCACCTGAAATAGATGGTATACATAGATATTTTTTTCAGATATTTGGCAAGTGGAAACACGTTCACGGATATGCATTATGCCTACAGATTAGGAGTTTCAACCATAAGCAAGATTATAAAAGATGTTTGTCATAGTATTTGGAATATTTTGAAAGATGAATATCTTCCAACTCCAACAGTAGAAAATTGGAAGGACATTGCTGATGGATTTACAAGAAATGCTCAGTTTCCGCACTGCATAGGAGCTGTGGACGGGAAACACGTCCGCATTATGAAGTTTCCAGGCAGTGGATCGATGAATTTGAATTATAAACATTTTTTTTCGATAGTCCTAATGGCTATTGCGGATTCTAATTACCGCTTTATATACGTAGACATAGGTGCCTTTGGTAAGGATTGCGACTCATCAGTATTTAAAGAAACCGTGTTTTGGAAATTATTACAACAAAATGCCTTGAATATTCCCCACCCAAGCCCCCTAATTTCAACAGGAGACAATCTACCATTCGTCTTAGTTGGAGACGAAGCATTTGCACTTTCCCAGAATTTACTTAGGCCATATGGGGGCCATAGTTTAAATATTAATAAAAGAATTTTCAATTATCGCTTATGTCGAGCGCGACGGTACATAGAATGTTCGTTCGGTATTTTAGTGAATAAGTGGCGAATATTTCACAGAGCCATAAATGTTGGTAAGGAGTACGCAAAAGATATTGTTAAAGCGTGCATAATTTTGCACAACCTAGTTCGAGAAAAAGATGGCACTCGTGTAGAAGATATGTACGCACCAGACAGAGAGCTACAAAATCTACCACCAACTACAGCATGTCGCGGTGGACGAGCTGCCAATGATGTTCGCGATAAATTTGCAGAATTCTTTGTAAGTCCAGAGGGATCCTTACCATGGCAAATGTCTAAAATTTAGCGCATAAGTTACTGCTTCTGGTTCTATTTAATGTCTTTATACTTAGATATTACTTTTACATTTAGGCAAGTGTTCTTTAAGTTTAAAGCTCAAATAGGTACATATGTACTAACCTAGATCTGTAACGTAGGCTGTAAATGTGAATAAATACAGGTAAAAACATGCAATTTTTTGCTGTTCTTGTTCATTTAAATTATCGAAATTGGCTTCAAGGTATTTATGCACTTCTTTCCACTCACGTTTTTTCAATATCTTGTCTTTGTAAGTCTCGGAAAATTTATTCCACAAACAGGGCCTTGCTTCCACCAATTCAATGAGTGTAACAATGTCGTAATTAAATTTAGTCACACTCATATAAGTATAACCCGTGTTCCAGCAACCAGTCAATACGCCAAGCTACTCGTGCGACACTGAGTTTCAAAAGTGATATGACACACCGATAACGACAAGTCGGAACGTGTGAATGTGCCTATTTAGTTTGCATTGCGTACTAAACCGGGCGATAATTTACTGGCCGATTTTAACTCGACCATCCGACAGACGCAACGATATCGAACACGGCCACCGATATATTTATCGGGTCGGTTTTTGTGTAAAACTATTCATTTAAGGCAATGTATTTGTTAGGCAAACCGATACCGATACCGATAACGACACCGATAATATCGGTGTGTGTGAAACCGCGCTAATACGAACTTGCATCCTGGCTCTACCGACTATGTAATTTTGGTTCAAAACAAATCGTATGCTTGGCCTTCTGCAGTCGATGATGAAATCGAGACGTAGCCTGGAAACTGCCAGAACGGTGGCAGTGTTTTATAGAAATAGATGGTAAATAATTGTAGTTCATGCAATAAATAAACAAATAAAACATTGAACATATTTATTATTATGCCTAATGTTTGAAAATGGTAATGGGACAAACGATAAACTAGCTCTCAGGTAAACGCAATCGATACGTGCAAGCTCTTGTGTAATGAAGAAATCCCCACTAGAGGGACATTGCTTTTTTTCACCCTTAATATTTCACGTTTTGCAGACTGCTTTTCGTAATTCTCTAGCGATTAGAAAGCTTCTTGGAATAATCGCCACCTACCAATGGTTCCCCAAAGCTGATTTTCATCCTCATCACATACCGTGAAGCGATGTTTCGTGGTCATCAGCTGCTCATCAGTGCATTATCGGTCTTAGGTCTAGGCTTGGAGACTGAACTAGAAGCAAACAACTGGGTAAGGTCTTTTGAAAAACTCAAAACATGTAGTAGGTGAAAATCTGGCTCCAAGAACTATACCGCACTGATGAATTGCTAATGAGCACGAAACGGGGCTGTCTACGTTTGGTGATGGTTACAGATCCGGAAAGCAAACATGTCCATTTCAGCAGTAATGTAACTCTTGAATCATGAAACTCATTGTGTGGTTGTCTCTGCGATTCATTTAAATCTGAAAGTTGTTCAATGGCGAGTAGACCACATCTGCTATACCGCGTCAGCATCTAGCGATCACAATAGAGTGGCGCTTTGAGTTGACTTATTTCGATAGATCTTATGCCTCGGACAGAGTATAGTTGCTATGTTTTCGTTCCTTGTCCCAGAGACCAAGACTAGACCATGCCGATGAGTTGACAAAACGCATGATACATCAGTCCATGGCTGGCTGACTATGGTCAAATAGATGAAAACAGCATGTTTACTTATGCCTAATGTCCTACATATTATGCGAAACAATATGAATCAACGAAAATCGATAAATGTGTTCTTATTTGTAATCTATGGAATGCACTCGTCTGCATGTGTGATAAAACATATTCTTACAAACAACAATGCATTATAATTCATTACCTCAACGGTACACCTTATTACCAAATTGAAGCTCACGGCGGAATTGACACACTCGATTCATTGATATTCTTTCAGTGGATCATCCCACTACTCGAATTTAGCGGTAAATTAATGTATAAAAATCGACTGTTTCGATAATGTTATCATCAGTTGATTCGTTAAGTTGAACAAATCACGACGTTCTAACCACCCCACAACAAAATGTACAAATTCGTAAGTATTCCTAGTCCCTTATGGGACTTCATAAAATGACAATAAAAATAATTTTTTGGTACGTCCAATTTTCGGTATCTCATTAGTTCATTATTTTTCTACAAATACACTTAGTTTTAAGGAATGCAAAATCAATAAAACTTTCAAGCCTGATGGTATGTCACTTAGTGGCATGTTTACCCATCAATATCTTATCACCGTATAGCCTGAATTTCTGATTATAGCGCCAGAATTCTTTTGTTGAAACTTTATTCGTACTGATTACAAAACGTAGAGAAATTTATTAGCATCAGTAGTGATATATCGATATGGGACTATATACCGTAAGATTTATACAGAATACGACAGAAATTCAACTTCTGGGACGGCTGAGTACCTATTCAAGTTGGGGGCCGATTTTGAATTTATAGAAGACAAAAATTGGTACACAAACTAACAGCACCGTAGGCTGATGGAACTTTTTAGTAATATTAATAAAAATATTAATAAGTTGCTTTCATTCGATTCCGTTACATTATTCATCCAACATACAACAATAGGCGTAGATAAGTCACTAAAATTTTGAGAATTGAGTCGGTGGAGTGTCACCATGCTCATACTCATATTTTGTTAATATGAAATGAACCTCTTTGAATGTCTCAAAAACGATTAAAAATATGAACAGCGATCCATTACTATGGACTTATGTTTTTAGTAAAAGTATGTAGAGATATCGTATGTGACGAATGTATGTCAAAACTATTCAAGTAGATGTCAGAGTGGTGGGGGAGTGATTATGTGCTGCTGAGTAGCTACGAATTCAGCTCGTTTTTTAAAATTATCAGTATAATTCCGATTATTGTATATCAGCATTATAAGAGACGTAATGTGTTTAGCTGTAACTAGTCATTGTCGATTTCTGGTAGCCAAGCATTTTGATATTTCCACATTTGTTGAGTTTATTTAAACATATTCTGGCGTTTTCTGAGATTTTCCATGTTCATTTTGCCATTCTCTTTGTACACATGGCTCTGATCACATTTCTGTATACTAGAGAAAAACGGTATCAAGAATTTTGTAGTCGTTGTAACTTGTCTTTATCACTTTTTAAGATAGCTGGACCATATACACTTGATCAGTATGAAACTGTTGGAATTATAAATGCATCACATAATAGTATTTTTAGTCTAGTGTTCAATATATTTCTTTGAGGATACATTTACTTGAGAGTGATAGTGGGTCTAAAATTAATTTCAGCTACAGAGAATTCGACAGATTCGGTATTCTTGCCTGGAAATTCCTATACCAGGAAAAAAGAAATTAGGTTTTTGATTGACGGTACTCCCTCTTTATTCCCTGTCCATTGCAATGAATAGCTGATGCAATCATCGAAAATAAAACCAGCACTTGTCTATTCATCTAGCCAAGTACCAAATAAAAAGTACCCATCCAAATTAATTGATTTGAACTAGCTTCAATTCTCGACCAAGGTAACACAGTATGATTTGAAATTGTATAATCGGTAATTTCGAAAAATTCCATTTTCAAACCACTTTGTAGATCATTGAAACTTTTTCTAGGTAGTATTTTTCGCCATCGTCGCCCTGGCTGTAGCCGTTCCAGCTCCTGAGGCCGCCCCTGAAGCCAAGGCCGCCCCTAAACCAAGCATCCTCGCCGCAGCATACACCGCCCCAGTAGTCGCTGCCCCTGCCGCGTATGCCGCCTACCCCTACGCTGCGCCACTGGCATATTCCAGCTACATCGCTGCACCCTCCGTCTACGCCGCTGGATACACTGCCTACCCGTACGCTCCAACCGTCGTCGTTTGATTTTGTTGATAGTAAATAGAAAATAAAATGATTGTTAAAGTTTATGTCAATAGTGTTATTGTAGACAATATTATTCCTTGCCTGCCACGCCTTTTTTTTTGGTTAATTAATAAAACACAATGATAAATACTATCTAACGGTTGGTCCAAGCAAAACAGTGTTGTCTAGTGGCGTGCAAATTTAGGCGCTCGCTCAACAAAGCGGAGAGTAGGGGGGGTTAAGAGCGGCAGTGACTTAGGACGGATTAAGCCACAACTCCACGAGATGTTAGTCGGAACTTGTTTTGCTTGACCACCACACAAAAGGAGAATCTAACAGAGATGATGTAATTTAAGTAACAGTACACACAGAGAGAGAGCCAGATAAAACAAAGTATTAAATGAATCACAATATACTGATTAATAAAAAAAAAACGCGCATGTGCTCCACTACTGGAGTGCGAGTAATAAAAAAAAGAAAGGATGTTATAAATCCTAAATACAACCTGACAAAATTATTTTTCGAGATAAGCCCGCGAGAAGTCTACCATGGTATACTCGTACGCCCAAAGTATTTACAGATATTTTGCGCCTAAATATTAAACTTATCTGTAGGTCTTCTTTGTCAGGCACAGCCGAGATGTCCTCAACTCTGGTCAAAAAGTGGCCTTTATCGGGCACGTTACTGGGCAGGGGCTGCTTGCCTCGTTGCTAAAAATTATGGTAGTAAAAAAAGCCCTAGAGAGAGAAAGACTGTTTAAACATCTACTCTACTCTATGTCTGAGATAAAACTCCTCATTGAAAACAATCACACTTGAGGCAAAACCATGTACATTTTTTTGTACAAGGAAAGTAAAGCAAATGCAATGTAGGCACTGTCCCCAACGAATCACGCAGAACACGTAACGTTCGAGAAGAAGGTATCTTGAGTGGCCTTGAAGAAGATATGTTTTATAGGAAACCAAATAATGGAGTTCTTTGCTGATCGTCAACACCATACTGAATCGATGAGAACAAAAGATATAATGCGAGTGAAATTATACAATCAATAAACTATTAAATTTGCCAAAAGAAAATCATTGGAAAGGGTTTGGCCTAGGAATGGGCAATCTATTATCAAATTACTGGTAAGTGATAAATAGAAAAAAAGGGTTACGTGGTTTTGGCACGTTACAACCCGAATTTGACAAAATTTGCTACAAATTTGCGCTATCATGAAAGGGGTTTCTAATGAAACAGGTGCCTGGTTCAAAGCCTGATCAGTGTGCAAGAAACAGTAGTGCGTTTGGCTATGGGAGAAATAGGGTGCTCTTGATGCCCTTCATGGCTTCTGCCCCTGACTGGTATATCTTGTTCGGACAGAATTAGCTGAAAATAATGGGTGATTTTTTTGCTAGTATCTTTTTGGCAACACTGTTTTTGACAGATGACGCGTGAATCGTGTCTTGTGCCATTGTCAAACTTGTTCAGTTTGGTCTATAATTTAACCATGAATCGACTTACGAACGATTAACGCTTGCAAATTATTGAATTTTACTATCAAAATTCATGCTCGGTTAAGAGAGTGCTTCCAATTTATGGGCAATTTGGTCGGCCTACTGAGGAAGCTATTCGGAAGCTTGTGACTAAATTTTGAACCCAGCTTACATTTTTGGACATTTAAACCACCAACACGCAGACGTAGAGTGAGGACTGAAGAAAATATTGCTGCTGTATCCGCCAGTGTTAGTGATGACCGTGAAATGTCGATTCGCCGCCGTTCGCAGCAATTGGGCCTCTGTTACTCCACTACGTGGAAAATTTTGCGACAGAATTTGGGTGTAAAACCTTATAAGATATAGCTGGTGCAAGAATTGAAGCCACACGACCTCCCACAACGTTTGCAATTTGGTGAATGGGCGCTGGCAAAGTTGGAGGATGATCCACATTTTTATCGAAAAATTGTGTTCAGCGACGAAGCTCATTTCTGGTTGAATGGGTACGTTAACAAGCAAAATTGCCGCATCTGGAGTGAAGACCAGCCAGAAGCATTGCAAGAGCTACCAATGTATCCCGAAAAAATCACTGTCTGGTGTGGATTATGGGCCGGTGGCATCATCGGGCCGTACTTCTTCAAAGACGACAATGGCCGGAACGTAACTGTGAATGACGAGCGCTACCGTGCGATGATAACTAACTTTTTTTTGCCCAAAATGGAAGAGCTGGACTTGGCTGACATGTGGTTTCAACAAGACGGTGCCACATGCCACATCGAACACAAAAGAATGGCGCTATTGAGAGGCGAGTTCGGTGAACAGTTTGGGGCCCGTCAATTGGCCGCCTAGATCGTGTGATTTAACGCCGTTGGACTATTTCTTGTGAGGCCATGTTAAGGCTCATGTCTACAGGGATAAACCAGCAATTGGACCTTGCGCATGGGCCATCTAAAGCGGAGCCGCGGCCAACATTTACATGAAATAATCTTTAATCATTAAATTATATCGACCGTTCTATCGACTTTTTAGTCATATTAATAAAAATATTAATAAGTTACTTTCATTCGATTACTTTGCATTATTCATCCAACATATAAAAATAGGCGTAGATAAGTCACTAAAATTTTGTCGGTGGAGTGTTACCATGATCATACTCATATTTTGTTAATATGAAATGAACCTCTTTGAATGTCTCAAAAACGATTAAAAATATGAACAGCGATCCATTACTATGGACTTATGTTTTTAGTAAAAGTATATAGAGATATCGTATGTGACCAATTTATGTCAAAACTATTCAAGTAGATGTCAGAGTGGTGGGGGAGTGATTATGTACTGCTGAGTAGCCACTCCTTTTTTAAAATTATTAGTATAATTCCGAAATTCAAATGGATGATTATTGTATATCAGCATCATCAGACACGTAATGTGTTTAGCTATAACTAGTCATTGTTGATTTTTGGTAGCCAAGATATTTCCGCATTTGTTGAGTTTATTTAAAAATATTCTGGTTTCTTATTCACTAAAATTGTATGAACCAAAAATAAACATTGGCGTTTTCTGAGATTTCCTATGTTCATTTTGCCAGTCTCTTTGTACCCATGGCTTATATGAATACATTTCCGTACACCCAGAGGAATGTGGTTTCAACAAGACGGTGCCACATGCCACATCGCACACGAAAGAATGGCGCTATTGAGAGGCGAGTTCGGTGAACAGTTTGGGGCCCGTCAATTGGCCGCCTAGATCGTGTGATTTAACGCCGTTGGACTATTTCTTGTGGGGCCATGTTAAGGCTCATGTCTACAGGGATAAACCAGCAATTGGACCTTGCGCATGGGCCATCTAAAGCGGAGCCGCGGCCAACATTTACATGAAATAATCTTTAAACATTAAATTATATCGACCGTTCTATCGACTCAAATAAAGATTTAATCGTTTTTTCAAATTTTTTGTGTTTTTTTTTGAAAATCAAATCTTATACCTCTTAAAAAATCACATGATCAAAACTATTGTGTCATACCTTCAGCGTATTCATACGTGAGTTGCATTTAAAAAGTCTTACTTTGTTCGTAGCAATTTTTATAGTATTTCCTGTTGAATTCAATTCTATTAGTATGACAGACTGCAGCCTTACAGCGTTCATGCGTGGAAATTTATTGAATAACTCTCCGTCTAGTCCGCTGGATACACTGTCTAGAATTCGACAGCCAACAAGAATTTTCCACTAATTTGTGCCAACTACGATGAAAGGGGTTTCTCAGTACGCAAAAATTTGGTAGTGCGTTTGGCTATGGGAGAAACAGGATTGCCCTTGATGCCCTTTATGACTCCAATCCCTGACTTGTGATGTATCTTATTCTGACAGAACTAGCTGAAAATATTATCAAAGCTATTGCGTCATATCTTCAGAGTAGTCATACACGTCAGTGGCATTCAAAAAGTCTTACTTTGTTTTGTTTTTTTATAGAATTGAAAGCGTTTCATCACATTACTTATAACAGAAAGCAGAGCTATAGGCCTGTAGTCGTAAGGGTCGGTCTTGGATCCCTTTTTATCGTGCTGGTCTTCACCGACTACGTTTTGAGGATACAAAAGACCATGCCCACCTGTTTGCTTCTCGTTCAGTCTCCAAGACGTATACCGCGCTGATGAATTGCTAATGAGCACGAAACAGCGCTGTCTACGGTTGGTAATGGTAACAGAGATGGAAAGCAAACATGTCCATTCCAGCAGTAATGTAACTCTTGAAACATGAAGCTTATTAGTGATGTGCAACTTGGATATTTTCAAGTATCCGATAGGATCCGATGATTAAAATGAATGTATTCGATCTTTTGTATTGGATAGTATGGATGCTGTGGATCACAAGATGTGGATTTTAACTATAGAATGAAAAATATTAGTTTTGCTAATATTATATTTTTTTTTTTGTTAAAAATTGTTTTTCATTGTTGTTTATTATAAAGATTAAGGAGTATAAAAATATACTATTATTAATCTTGAACATTTACTAAAATAATATTTTATATTTGTAATCCAAAGTAATAACAAAAATGGTTATAGTAACCTAAAAGTATTATTGAAATTTAACAAAAGGATAAAACGAACTTCATTCATTCATTCATAATTAAAAATGAAAAACTAAGGAACATTTCATATCATACCATCAATTTCGTACTCCTGACAGCTGACAATGGATTTTTTTGGTGATTCACTCATTTCATGGGCTGATGCGTACACAGGCAAAGTCCATCTTTTGTTTCTTACACGTAGACAATAGACAAGGAAATAGATAATAATTCCGTTTTGCATATGCAGAAACCTGTAATATACTTTCAAATATTTGTAGATTTGTTCGTTAGGTGGCGGGTAAAATCAAGTATCCATGGTATCTAAACCCCAAAAAAAAAACGAATATCTGATCCTAGGATTTTATTTAGGTATCGGATACTTTCTATCGGATACCAATATTCACATCACTAGCTTATCCTGTCGTTGTCCCTCCGATTTATTTAAATCTGCCCGTATAATGAAACATTCGCTGACATTTGAGCCACTTCGATAGCGTTTTTCAAAGTAAGTGCAATGTAAAAGTTTTTACCACGAAACCCAAGTAAAGGCTTTTCATTTTACTTCAAGACCCAGGTGTTTTTCTTAGAGTGTATAAAAAAGGTACTTTTGTGAACGTCATTCAATAAATTTCCAAGCATGATAGCTCTAAGGCTGCAATTTGTCATAGGTACTTTTTGCAGGCTAATAATTGAATTCAACGAAAAAATTGTTATTAACAAAGTAAGTCTTTTTAAATGTAACTCACGTATGAAAACGACGAAGATATGACCCAATAATTTTGTTAATGTTAATATATTTTCAGCTAGCACAAGATACAGGGATTGAAGCTATGAATATTATCAGGCTTTGAACCAGGCACATGTTTCCTTAGAAACATTTTCATTGTAGTTAGCCCAAATTTAAGGCAAATCCTTGTTGGCTGACGAATTCGAGTGTCGATATGGCTTCTCAAAAGCATTTCGCGCTTCTCGCCAAATAGTTATGTTATCTTATACTTTTGAAAGGAATAGTATTGCCTACAATAACACTATTGACATAAACTTTAACAATCATTTTATTTTCTATTTACTATCAACAAAATCAAACGACGACGGTTGGAGCGTACGGGTAGGCAGTGTATCCAGCGGCGTAGACGGAGGGTGCAGCGATGTAGCTGGAATATGCCAGTGGCGCAGCGTAGGGGTAGGCGGCATAGGCGGCAGGGGCAGCGACTACTGGGGCGGTGTATGCTGCGGCTAGGATGCTTGGCTTAGGGGCGGCCTTGGCTTCAGGGACGGCCTCGGGAGCTGGTACGGCTACAGCCAGGGCGACGATGGCGAAAAATACTACCTAGAAAAAGTTTCAATGATCTACAAAGTGGTTTGAAAATGGAATTTTTCGAAATTACCGATTATACAATTTCAAATCATACTGTTACCTTGGTCGAGAATTGAAGCTAGTTCAAATCAATGTTGTGACAGCCAGGCGTTAGTAAAGTTCTTCAGAGAACAAACGTGGGAATCTGATTTTAACCATACAGTAGAGTGACGAATATCAGTGTTGGTTATATTTTCAAAGATTGCAACAACTATTCATTGTAATGAACACGGGTAAAAAGGGGGTAGTACCGTCAATCAAAAATCTATTTTTTTTCCTGCTATAGGGGATTTCCAGCTAAAAATATCGTATCTGTCATATTTTCTGTAGATGAAATTAATTTTAGATCCATTGTTATTCTCTAGCAAATATATCAAAGATATATATTGAACAGTAACTGAAAATGCTATTGTGTTTTGCTTTTATAATTCCAACAGTTTCATACTATATGGTCAGCTATAATAAAAAGTGATATTGACAAGATACAACGGCTATAAAATTCTTGTTACCGTTTTTCTCCAGGTATACGGAAATTTGTTAATATAAGCCATGTGTACAAACAGAGTGGCAAAATGAACATGGAAAATCTCAGAAAACGCCAAAGTTCATGTTTGGTTCATAACATTTTAGTGAATAAGATACCAGAATATTATTTAAATAATCTCAATAAATCAATAACTTGACTATCAGAAATCGACAATTTTTAGTTATACCTAAACACTTTACGTCTCTTTACAAAAAGAGCTTCTCTTATACTGCTGTTATACAACAATCTTCCACTTGAATTTCGAAATTATACTGATTATTTTAAAAAGAAGCTGAAGTCAACCAATTGACTTGAATAGTTTTGGCATAAATTGGTTACTATATAATAATAATAATCTCTATATACTTTGAAAGATACCATCATGGTAACACTCCACCGATTTGAAAATTTTAGTGAATTATCTACTCCTATTGTTATGTTGGATGTATAATGTAAAAGAACCGAATAAGGGCAATTTGTAATTATTATTCTTGTTATTATTATTATGATTATTATTACTAAACAGTTCCATCAGCCAGTACTACCAGCATTAGCGGTTGAAGTTCTGTCGTATACTGTATAAATCATACGGTATATAGCCCCACATCGATGTGTCACTACTGATGCTATATTCCTCTATATTTTGCAATTAGTGCTAATAAAGATTCAAAAAAGTTGCTTACGTCGTAATCAGAAATCTGAGATGTACAAAAACGGAGCTTGGCTTAATTGGACTTAAAAGTTCTGTTGATTTTGCATTCCATAAAACAATTTGTAGCAAAATAACGAACTAATGAGATACCGAAAATGAGACTTGCACCAAAAAATAATTTTCATATTCATTTTACGAAGTTCCTTATATCTAGGAATACTTACGAATTTGTACATTTTGTTGTGGGGTGGTTAGAACGTTGTGATTTGTACAACTGAACGGATCAACTGATGATAACATTATCGAAACAATCGATTTTTATACATTAATTTACAGCTAAATGCGAGTAGTGGGATGATCCATTGAAAGAATATCAATGAATCGAGTGTGGCAATTCCACCATGAGCTCCAATTTGGTAATAAGGTGTACCGTTGAATAATAATGCATTGTTGTTCCTAAGAATCTGTTTTATCACACTTGCAGAAGAATTCCTTCCATAGATTACAGATAAGAATATATTCATCGACTTTCGTTGATTCAGATAATTCGCATAATATGTAAGACATTAAGCGTAAGTGAACATGCTGCTTTTTATAATAATCATAATAATATGTAATAATATTAATAATAACTTAGAGCGAAAATTTCAAACAAATTCGAGAGGTACTTTCAAAGTTATAGACGGATCAAAGATTAGTGGACAGACCGACAGAAATGAGTGATGTAGGTGTCATGCAACATCCAAAAAATCTAATATCTTCGGTGTTTTTCACGATTTCAGTACTTCCTCGCCAGTGAGCGTAGGAAGTAAAAACGGACCTTCATTGCAAAAAAGCAACAATCCTCGAAAACGTTCTTCAATAGTATGCTTTCAAACTTATATATGTAAAAAATGTTCTTCAGATGATATTCTTCTCCATCAAAATGATACAAAGTAATGCAAGTGATGTATTTATTCACTTAGAAACTTGGAAAAGCTATGTATTACACATTTGATGGGTTGTGAATTCTTTTGTATAAATTCAGAGAACGACGTATTAAAGTATTTATTAACAAAAATTCTACATTTATTTGTCTTCTCTAAAGATAATCCTAACCGCTTCTTCAGCATCGCTCCTGGGCGCTACGGTGATGTGTTGATTTTGTCCATTCTCTCCATGCTCATCTGCAACAAGACCCTGCATATTTCTTCCTGTAGCCTCTTCTGTTGTCGAAACAGTCTGCGCCATTGGAACTTCTTCCGTCAAATCTCCCTTAGATTCACCCTTCTCCATAGAAATCTTTATTGTAGAGGAAGAAAACTCACTTGAAGAAACGTCTGATTCAGGAAAAGATGTAGCGTTATGTAGTGATCTCTGATGTGGAGAAGAAGTAGAAGAAACATCAGATTCACGCAAGGACCCTCTATTTGATAGAAATACCCTATGGGGAGAGCCAGTGCCAGTTGAAGGCAACTCAGTCGAAGAAACTTCAGATTCAGGAAAATTCCCTCTGTTGTGTAGAAATCCTTGATGCACTACACCATTGTGTAGGTTATATGCGACTAGCGGGATATGCTGATCCTTGAGTAACAAATATGTATCCCAAAGTGCGTTGATTGGTGTAAATTGCCGTCGTAAGTTTATATGGCTTGGTATGATTAACCCATGGTATTCTACATTCCTGGTAACCTTAACTTCAGGAGGATGTTGAGCCATCGGTCCAATAGCATGGTGGTTATGATTACATGGGTGATGTATATCTGGTCCTGCTGTATGGAGTTGCTGATTCTGAAGATGTTGACTTCCTCCATGACTGCTTGATGATATGTGTTGATGCTGTGACTCTTGAGAAAAGGACGACTTCTGGGCTGTAGAGCTCATATCTCCAAATCCTGAAGAAAACGTATTATGTCCAGTATATTTTGTAGTCTGTTGTACGGTTTGCTGAGGCACTTCAATAACTGGACGGATAACTGGTTGGCCGTAGGTATACAAAGTTTGGCCAATGGCTCCTAAAGATCCCATGGATGTAACAACTTCTTGATGTAGCTGCTGTCCCACACACCTTCCTCCAGGGTTGCATTTTGACGAGTGCTGTACATTTGGAGGTTGAGAAATGGTCTGTCTATTGATAGTCGAGCTTTGATGTCCAAACAATTCTGAAGGTGTAGCATCCTTCCAAGAGTCTCGATTCGTTTGTTGTCCAACTATTGACGGCAGTATTTGGGCATTACCTAGTTGTTGAGGAATACTTTTTACAGAGCCTGAATACACTACTGAAGCAGTAATACCTCTTGACGGCTGAAGAGCTGAATAATCTTGGGTATACGTACTGTGTCCATCTATTTCTGCACTTTCACCATGAATACCTGTTAACGTGTGGTGTACCTCTGGATACGTAGGAATGGTTAATTTCTGAACTACATTGCTTCGGTATCCAGACAAGCCTGAAGATAGGGTATCCTTCCTAATAGAATTTCCAACTACTCTGTGTTGGTTTTGTTGAGACAGTGATTCCTCCACGGCTGGTGACAGTATTTTAAGTTGTTGAGGAACACCTTGTACAGCACTGGAATATAATCCGGATGAAGTAATAACTGTTGGTTGAAGAACTGGGTAGCTTTGAATGTAGAAACTGTCTCTATCTGTTCTCACAGTTTCACCATGATTACTTATTGATGTGTGATGTGCCGATGAAGCATGTGGAATGGTTAATTCCTGAACTACATTGCTTTGGTATCCAGATAATCCTGAAGATGCAGTGTCCTTCCTAATATAATTCTCAACTATTTTCTGTTGGTCTTGTTGAGATAGCGATTCCTTCACATATGGTGTCAGTATTTGGGCAATACTAAGTTGTTGAGGAACACCTTGCATGGAACTGGGATGTAGTCCTGTTGGTTGAAGAAAAGGGTAGCCATGGATGCCTCTCTCTATTCCTACACTTTCACCATGGTTACCTATTGATTCGTGGTGTGCCGTTGAAATCTCTGGAGTTGTTAATTTCTGAACTACATCGCTTTTATATTCAGATAAACCTGAATATGAAGTATCCTTCCTAATAGAATTTCCTATTATTCTCTGATTTTGTTGAGACACCGATTCTTCTACAACTGGTGTCAGCATCTGGGCAAAGTCTAGATGTTGAAGAATACTTTGTCCAGGATTTAAAGATCCTTCTGCAGAAGTATGGCTATGATGGACATCGTTGTCTTTTAATAAGTGATGCGCATGTGGGACTCTTGACTTATTCACTCTAATGCTTCGATGCTCAGCTGACTCAGAAGTTGTAGTATGCTTTTTCGAGTATTTGACAGTCTGCTGGATAACAGATTCATCATTGGTTGGGATCAGTATTCTAGATGAGCCTTGTTGTCCGGGAATAATTGGCACTTCGGTATCCAGGAATGGTATTTCTTTAAGCTTATTGGGTGTTCCATTTAATATGTTCACAAGAAGCGGCAGTTTAGACAGGTCATCGTCAAATATGTGACGAGAATTTAAGTTTGGCACAGCGTGGCTACTTCTTTCGTCTGTGAGCAGTGTTTCTTCCGCCATTTGGGGGAGCTGGGATTGATTTTCATCTTTAATTTCCGATATATTTGCTTCCGATATGGTTGTCGCTGCATTCCCATCTGAAGTATATGCTGAATTTAGAGTAGCATGTTCCTTGATACTATCCTCATTTGGTATACCCTTTACATGATCTTCGTAAGTTTTTCCTATGCGTACATCAATGAACCGTTGCCAATCAGCATCATTGGAGTTACGTTTCTCACCTTCTACTTCTTTGTTAAATGGGTTTGTATCCTGCGTCTTGTTCAAGCAATCTCGTTGGATAATCTTGTTACCGGTGTTGGATAGACCTCTCTTTATATTTTCAAAAGATCTTGTAGCTTCACTGATGACTGTGTGTTTCAACGGTAAGCCCGCCTTGCCAAGGAATTGTTTTACCGAAGCTGAAGCTGTAGATCCAGAACCTAGGAAAAGGACGATCAACTGAAAAGAAAAAAGTATGCAGTTAGTATTGGTAAAATAGTGATGGTATGAGAAATAAAAATAAAATTGGTTTATAAAGGATTAAAATGTGGCCAAGGATACGAATGCTGAATCGATTCTTCTGACGTGTCAAACAAAACTCAATTTACAAAAAGTGTCAAAGTCAACTTTTAAACAAAGAGGTTTTTCTAATCACGCAATTGTTGATCGCTGATGTTAAACTGGAGGCATAACTTTAGCCTCATTAAACACTTTTGGTTTTGATCGATTCAATTGTAACTTAATCCAACTTACAGGGGTGATAAAACAAATAAAAACGATAAATGTGTAGCCTATTCTAATGGATTTAACAACAAATTAGGTAATTAGAATAAGAAACACAGTTGTTACATACTCGTTGAAATTCTCACTAGGTTTTTGATAGGATTCATGTATCGCAGATAAAAGGGCCAGTCGAAGACTCCAATATTTCGCTCTGCAAACTAAACCACTGACAGCCTGCTAACACGTATTAATGTGTTATCTTGTTGAAATACGTCTACGATTATTGTCTCTAAGAAGCTGTACTAATGGGCTTCGAGTACTTGAGAGGATGAGAGGTTGCCCAATCTCAAACCTCTGCTTTTGAAAGGCCTCACAAACTATTCAAGTCAAGTCTCCACTCAAAGGTTTGCTTCAAGAAATGTTGTAGTTGCTTTTTGTAAAGCGTTTTAATAGTAATTAAGTCCACAGGGATGTTTCGACAATTTAAAAAAATATGAGAAAAAGTGACCGCTGGGAATAATTTACAAAAAAAGCTTCAATACACCTTGAATCTCTCTTTTAGACCAAGGCGTATTTACGAAGAGAGGGGTTTTAAGATTGTCTTACCCCTTAAAAGGTATCAACAGAGGAAAATGCCTTAACGTTCTCGAAGCTAATAATGGTATAAATGATATTTTAACAATAAATAACTAAAAGATACATTTTAAAAACAAGCTCTTATTTAGATGTTCATAAAATGAACTAAAATTTTGGAAATAATTTTATTCAGTTGGATATATCAGACGATAATGAAGCTCCTTCATCTGAAGTTTTCAAATATATAAGCGAGTTACATCCTTTTCTTATCCGGTATCAAAAATGCTTTTGGAAACTGGAGATGAAGCAGCTTCCTTATAGTTTAAACATTTTCAATCGAAAAAAAACATTTTTAAATTATTAGCTCATCTTATGAACAGCTTAATAAAGTTTTGTTTTTGAAAACGTATCTTTATTTTTTACTTTTTAGTAATTATGATCTCAAATAACTAGTTTAGTAATTTCTATACAACTTTCATAACCTTTATTTTTCATTAATAGGATGGCGATCCCCGATAGCATTAAATATTTGTTAAAAATTTTTAAAAAGTGTTTGTTAAATATTTCTAGCGACAGATGTTTTAATATTTAATAAATATATTTTTTATATATTTATAAAATATTAATTATAGATATTTGCAGTATATATAATTCATATATTTTTGCAATATTTTTTCTAAATACTTAGAAAATATATGAGGAAAGATTTTTAAATATCAATTTTATATTTTGATGAATTCTAATATTTTTCGTAAATATGTATGGATTTTCAAGCATTAATCTGATACATGTTTTCAGTGTAAATACAAAATTTTTCATTGGTTCTTTAGCAAAACCTGTAGGAATGCTTATATTTAAGTAACATAAAAGTATCATTAAATATTAAATAAATATATATCGTGCTGTATAGGATATATATATATATATATATATATATATATATATATATATAACAACAAGTAGGAAAATAATGGGCAAAATATTCATACACATATTCTCTTTGTAGATCCTTTGGGCTTGAAGTACCACAGCAAGTGGCTATAACCGGCCGCGTGGTGGTGGTTAGACGTCTCCTTGAAAATTCGAGGTCGTATAGCCATTTTATACTACAATGTGTAGGTTGGCTCTTGTTGTGGACTTCGTGTGTCGTTTTTTTTTCCCTCCAACTTCGTTTCCTCAGGTTACACCCGTATCCGGATGTGTGGGCATGTGTATCTACTTTTGTAGTTTCATATGTGCATTCATTTCGGGCCTGATGAAGCCAACCAGCAGAAATACGTATCGCTCGGGTTACCTATCCTATTTTCTGCTCGAATCCACTTTCCTCCTTTTTGCGGATTTTGCCCATTATTTTCCTACTTGTTGTAATATACCTTTCTCCGCATGATCATATTCTCTTTATATATATATATATATATATACGAGCCCCTTCCCACTTCAGTTGGCCCAACTATTGAAATCTTAGTTTTTTTTCTTATCAAACACAAATAATAAAAATGTACCAGGGTGTTATAGGTTTAAATTATTAACAATGAATATTTTGATAATATATAGTAGAAAACACCAACTTTATCACTTCGCAATCAAATTTGCAGCATAAAAATAACACATGTCGCAATTACAGCATATCAACCTATTTTCATTTCAATGCAAAATAAGTCGCATAGGTGGCTGTGAAAAATAAAAGCAATGACAATTGTTTTTATTAATCACAGCTGTCAGAAAACGTTTAACATAGTAAGGCTTTCAAAACGGGTAGAGGAAAGATTATTAGTGAGAAAATTCGGTTACTGATAATTAATTTTTTTAATTCTGGGAAATCAAACTCAGAAATTGCGACTTTGTTAGACTTATCGCGGCACAGTGTGAGAAATATTGTTAGAAAATATAACGTAGCTGGTTCGGTTAATATTAAGCCACGATATGTGAAAAAAAGTAATATCACAAATGCCGACCGAAGAGCATCAACAAGAATAATCGTGAAAAACAGGCGTGCCAATTATTTACAATTAAGTGCTCTGTGGAGTGACGCTATTGGAAGGAGAATTTCGAGGTCCACAACTCATAGAGAGGCCCACAAACTAGGATTTAGCACTTGCAAGGTAAGTTTTCTTACAAAAAAAAGTGAAGTAAAAACCCTAAAGTTGCACAACTTGTTGATAGGCCAAAGAAAAGCCACTATTAACTCCACTGCAAAAGAAAAATCGGCTTAGATGGGCTAAAGAACATAGACAATGGACACCTCAACAATGGTGTGCAATGCAATGGAGTGATGAGGCCCGATTCGAAGTTTGTGTTGATGACAGTCGCAGTAGAGTTATTCGCAAAAAAATTAAGCATTTCATGTTGACTGTTTGAAGAGAAAAGTGAAATTTCCAACATCCATTATGGTCTGGGACAGTATGTCATCAAAAGGAGTAGGAAAACTTCATTCTATTGATGAAAATGTGGATACAAACAAATATTTGGCAATTTTAGAAGAATCGCTTTTACCAGTGATGGAAGAATGTTTGACATCCGGCCAAGATTTTGTGTTTCAGCAAGATGGTGCAGCGTGCCATACCTCAAAAAAGGCTATAAAATGGATGGAAGAAAATAATGTACCACTTTTGAAATGGGTTTCTAGCAGCCTAGATCTGTCACCTATTGAAACTTTGTGGCACGAGATGAAAAAGGTTCTACGACAACATCCTGCTCGTACAATTACCGAACTGAGACAAAAGCTTTAAGAAATATGGGATTGTTTTACACCAAATTTTTGCCAAAACTTGGTTAACACTATGCTCCAAAGAATTTCAGCCGTAATAAAAAATAAAGGTGATGTTACCCAATGGTAATCTTTCAATTATTGCTTTGTTAACTTCGCGCATTTATTCGCACATTGTTTATTTGTTCAGATGTTCTATTAGTTATATAGGTCTAAGTGATTTCAAGTATGTATTTTTTACGACTAGAGTGTATCTAAAATGTTTTTGAGAAAATAAATTGTTTTAGAAGTAAATAGTTTCGTCATGTTTAGTTAATAAAGGCATATTTTGGTACAAATCTTGAAGTAGGCCAACTGAAGTGGGAAGGGGCTCGTACATTTATGCTACAGACTTTTTCTATTCCTCTATTTAGATATTTATACTTCTAAACAAACATAATTTTTTGCTACTTATTTTATAACTTATCACGTATTTTATTCTAATTAAATTATGTGTTTTTCTTTTACTTATGTTAATCTGTCTTTTTCTCGTTGACGTTTCACATCCGCAAAGCAATTTGAATAAAAGTTATTAATATTATTAATGCTATACAAATCCTATTTAGTCTCAGAGAACTCTTCTGGCATATTACTGTCCAGGTCAGGTAGCAGTATGTTTTATCATTACTTGTTGTTTCGATAAGTTTTTTTTATTCTAGAACTATTTTAGAGAAAGAATAGTAACAGAAATGAATGAAGAAAGTCGTAATCATGAAGCGTGCTAATCTTAAGTTGGTTCACGTCAACGCTTTCACATTAGTATTAAGATCTGAGATTTCAAAAATGTATCTTACGAAAAAATATGAGTAAGCTCTATATTTGAGAAGGCATTTAGTCTTTTCGAAATGGTTATCGAAACAAAATTACTTTTTCGAAAGCTCCAACTTAAACATACACCTGGCCTTGAGAAAAAACAAGATTTAGTTATCACCGAAAAAGTCAAAATTACGTATTACTTTTTGAATGGTTGCTTCTGCAACTCGATTACATGGGTATTAGGTATTTATAAAGAACTAAATGCTACAAAAGAATCTAGATGTTGTACTTACCATTTTCAAATACATCCTTTTAGCTGTTCACTTCACTAACGATTCACGAAGCATCAGAACTAGAATGGATCATTTTACATTACCTGTTCATTTTTATAATGTATTTATTATTACTTCAGTGGTCATATAAGATAGGAAGAGTTAATGTAGTTTAAAGTACCTATAAGCTGTCTGGGATTATCCTAAAACCATTGGGAGTACACCGTAATTTCCCAACAATTAAAGACTTACGTTTATAGCACAAGATACCTAAATTTAGGGAGGCAGACCTTCGACAATGAGCAATCTTCAATTACTTTTATCCGGCAGTCAGTTATAGCAGTTCATGTTCAGGGCCGGCTTCAGATGGTAAGCAAGCGTGGCAGCCACCTCAGGGCGGGGGGATAACCATCTTATGACCATCGATGACGTGATGCAAAATCATTTAACTTAGATAGACGGATAATCTCTATTGTCTTGTTGGTCATAGGAAATTATGACATAATACTTGTCAACCGTATACATTTCATAAATCAATAAATTTTGGGACATTATCACAATGTCACGAAATAGACAAATAGCTAAAACAAAAAAAAATATGAATGCAATGAACAAATGTTGGACATATAACAAACATATTAAGAACAATTACAGTAAAATAGATAGAGCGATTAAAACATTAAAAAATTAAGACAGTCTCGTACCCGCTAAAATAATAACAACTTCCCCTTTTCTTCTTCTTCTTTCGATATCTGGTTTATCGGAGTATGAATGGTTTTTGATTGACAGATAGCATTTTTTTTCAATCAGATATCAAGGTAATTGAAAAATATTAGAACACCTTTTGAAATGAATAAGTTAATAACGGTAGACTTTTCGGTATTTAGATTATATCAACCTAACCTTACGCAATAAAATCGGGAAGTCAAGGAGGTGATCCTGTGTTTATAGTAACTTAAAAACCGGTTGTACGAACCCCCATTAACTTTATATCAGATAAAGCCTCTCAAAGGGAAAATCAAAAATTATGAAAGTGTAAAAGGTTTGAAACTATGGAGGAGTCGTTCTTTCTGCGTCTTGACCACCCTGTATAAGCTAACCAAATAATTGAAAAGTAGATAAGGAGAAAGTATGGGATCATATTTTTTTCTGGCGACAATACAGAGAAATTATGTTGAATGAAAACACATTTTTCTGAGATTTGTTTTGTTGTTGTTATAAAAGTGAACGAAAAGATTTTGAATATAGCTAACGAAAAATGCTACCAATTTTCCCTTAGCACAAAAAATGGAATTTTTGAGAAATTTCGCCGACATCGGTAAATAAAACTGATATTAGTTTCGTGAACCGCGAACCATATTTAGGCCAGTAATAGATGGTAGTCAAGATTTTAGATACGTGGACATTTTTAATTTTTTTTTTGCTAATAAACCTTCGATTTCAAGGTTAACTGGAAAATTTCTATATTCGTCATCTGTCCCTACACGCAAATGAAACTCGGTAAGCAGTTTCGTGAAGTATGTAATCGATTTATTTGGTCGAGATTTGTATCAACCAGGCTTTTCACATTTTCTTCATGATTTATCAACGTGTTTCATTATTGAAGTAAACGTAACTCGCCACCCTGGGGCTAATGTTTTGGAGATAATTCCGAATATGGCCATAAAAAAGTATAAGACCCGCTTGTCTTGTATAAACTAAATTGAAACAGTTGGTAGACATTTTTCATATTGCAGTATTACAAAAATTTGATTAATTGATTCAACATAAACGAAACATTTAAAACTTGGAATGTTATAAAGGCCCAAACGTATACAACCTAATCTCATTTAAAATCGTTCAAAATTCCTCATAATACGAATACGTCCATAAAAATTCATCGGGTGTCAGTCAATTTCATAACAAGTCGCACACGTAATTTGATGTCTGTAGACGCATACTAATGGTGGTCTTGGTTCGCATTTTGACACAATTTTCGACGAGGTTACGGCTGATCCTAAGCTCAACATCGATGTTAGGGGGTTTTAGTATAAAATGGAGGAGGTTTGCTAACACAAGCATCAGATACACTCGTGCTCTACTGTCTTGAACAAAGAAACAACAAAACAACCCCATCAAAATGTACAAGTTTGTAAGTATAAACCATTACTTTATCATTTTGTAATTTTGCTAAATATGATTATTATATTCTACTAATGATGCTAATCATCGCCATTATCTTCGCTACTTCTCACCTTTTGGGAATTTTTCTAAACTCACAATTTCAGTGTTCGGAAAAATAGTGTGTATTGATCAAATTTTCAAATGTTAAGTTTTATGTTTTTTAATACTTTACGATATTTGCGTTGCTAAGATTTATATCGATCCGCATGTCTTTCGTTTTTTGCATCAATTTTAAGAAATAGGTCGCGATATGCTGTGGGGGTCATAGAAGATATACTGGAGTACTTTTCATATAGTAGCTAATATAAATATTTTCTATCCATTTTATTTCCCATGTAACACTGGCGAGGAAGTATTGCAATCGCGAAAATGAGATACCATGCTTTTTGGATGTTATATAAGTACATCACGAAAAACCATGTCACTTATTTTCCTCTGTCGGTCTGCGGTCTGTCGGCCCATTAATCCTTGGAAAATACTGCTTGGATTTCGACCAAACCTTCACACAAGGTTACTTCTATACCAATGACGAAAAGGCTTGAAAGATTTTGAAATTCAGTTTAGTGGCGGCCGAGAAAAAGACCAAAAACGAAAAAAAGTAGAAACTTGGTTTCTTGATGTTTTAATGGCTCCTGATCATTTTGAAAACATTTTTGGGGTGAAAATGGGGAATGAGGGTTGTAAGGAATGCGAAAGAATATAAGTCAATTTTGCATATTAGTATAATAATACACTTCCAGCCGCGGTAATTCTGCACACCTATTAGACATATTTCACACCTCATAGATTTTTGCCCGTACATTTAACCTTAAGAATCAGAAAAATATTTTCAGCAGACGGCTATCGGTCGCACATGACGTACGACATGGGGTTATTTATAATTATGCATCTTTGATATTTGATTGGAGTGACGTATAAAGATTTAATCGCCAGCAGCGCGGTAACATACGAGGTGGGTGCGATAGATGCTTGGAGTGTAATTCAATGTGGTTATTTGATTTCGTGACATAATGCTATATAGTATATGATTATGTATCATGAGCTATATTATATTCAGTTATCAATCATTGTTGACAAACAGTTTTATAACAGAGTTCTGAAGCAATGGGACTCCCTGCTATGGACACGCTCATTGCTGCCATTTGAGGATTTCTTTCTTTCATGAAAACCCATATCGTGCATTACTAGTTCGTTTGAAAGCTATGTCAACCTGATTTACGCAATTATTTCTGGGATGGCGTGGTTTACTCTCGATTGTATTGATTGGTTTTCATATTGAGATAAAAAGTTATCTGTGTCCATTACAAAATTTGACGTACATTTTTACTTTCAGGTAGTATTCTTCGCCATCATCGCCCTGGCTGTAGCCGCTCCAGCTCCCGAGGCCGCTCCTGAAGCCAAGGCTGTCCCTGAGCCTAAGGCTGCCCCTAAACCAAGTGTTCTCGCCGCTGCATACACCGCTCCAATTGTGGCTGCCCCTGCTGCATATGCCGCCTATCCCTATGCTGCTCCCCTGGCATACTCTAGCTACATCGCTGCACCCTCTGTCTACGCCGCTGGATACAGTGCCTACCCATACGCTCCTACTTTTATCGTTTGATTTTGTTGATATAGGATAGAAAATAAAATGTTTGTTGAAGTTTAGTTTGTGTTTTCGCTTTTCTATTGCGCTTGCCAGGAGAATATCGCGACAACTTGTGCTCCAGATTATTGACGAAGATGGAGGATTTGGCATTGAATTAGAACTCTATAAATTTTGACAACAGACATCTTGTGACTGATGTTCTATGATGGGCCGTCTCTTGAATTGTCCACCCACGCGTCCAGCTTTTTTGACAGGTTGATGACGTTGACTTTTGTGGTTGACAACCTGGAAGTTGTGTGTTCTGTGTTTGTGTTGTGTCGTTGTGTGTATTTCTAATTTCTATAAGTGCATATCTGCCCCTCATGTACGTTGTAGTTTACTTTTTGGCGCCATAAATATATGAAAAAGATAATTATAAATGTCCGAAATGGAGTCTAATGTGAAGAAATACATCATTAGTGTTCTCACCTCGTCACCACTTACTATGACGATAAATCAGCTGAGTAAGGACTACAGAAATATGCTCGGGGAGGAAATACCATACCACAAATTAGGATACAATTCCATGGAACATTTCCTGAAATCTATCTCTGATACAGTACAGGTGGGTGCTTACTATTGTGTGTTCACAATCAAATACGACGAAAAGTATGCCTAGTAAAACGTTCTTCTATTGAACCTCTGTGCTGATTAGAAATAAAAAGACTTGTCACTGTTGCCTCCTAGAAATAAGTGGAGTGCATAGATTTATGAAAGGTCCCATTGATTCTTGTTTTGAATTACTACACTAACAATTTTATATCAGCTTCTGTCATTTTGAATGATCCTAAAACCAAACATTAATTTGGATGTTTCCACAGATTATTAGCTAGTTGTTTTATTGCACGACCTTGCAAATTTGGAATCAACAAATTGTTTCACAAATACTTTTTTTTTTAAATGCTAACAGTTGCACTTGTTCTCAATAATGTAATACTTTTCACAAATTATTTGATATATCCCTCCATCTTTGCTAATCTTGTCTCAAGTGGCTTATTATTAAAATATTTCCAAAACATGATCGAAATACATATTTTCTCACAAATAGCTTTTGCTGAGCAAGTAGTCTGAGAATGCAGTGCGTATTCAGAATTGTTTACTTATGTGTCTGCATGGTGGCTTTTAAACTTTTCAGTTTTTAATGATTCAATATAAGCTGACGAAGATTCAGCTAAAGTTTTTGTACTCATTATACTAGACATATAGTAACATAACAATGATCTATTTGTGTTTTTTACTGAATCCTCCATTAAGAAACTTATACTTGCAAGAGGATAGGTAGAGATATATAGAAAAGGAATATATAAGAAGCTATGTGAAAAAGGGTCACTAGCCTATCATAATAACAATAAATTGACTGTTTCATTGCTTCAAGAGCTTTTTACTTTCAATGCTACTAGCGAGAAAGTATTGTAAAAGTTTTATAAAAATGAGATTCACCTATTTTGAATGTTATATGATATGTACATCATGAAAAATCATCTCATTTCTGTCTGCTAATCCTTGGTCCATCTATAACTTGGAACGCACTACTTGCTTTTTGATGAATTTTCCACCAATGTTACTGCTATGCTCAAAAAAAACAAATTGGAGGGTATATCTCAATTTTTTGTCAGTATTATACTTATATGCTTTCAGCCCTGGTAATTCTTCACACCTATTAGACATATTTCACACATCATAGATTGTCCCATACATTTACTCTTAAAACTTTATAGAAATATCTTTGGTACACATCTCTAGCATTATGGTCTCCTCTATGAGTGTCACTCCATGACAGCTCAGTGGATAATTGTTTCAGCATGTTTGACTGACTTGATCTGTTTCATTTGCTCTGTATATGTTCATATCTAACTTTTTTCTTAGATGGTCATCATCTTTGCCATGATCATGAGCATTGCATCAACCTACTTGATGTCATTTGTTTTACTAAAAATAACCTGAACTTAGATGAAATTTCTTGGCAGCTCCACATAAAACACCACAGTGCTGCTATCACCTTATGTGTTTGAACTAGACATACATTTAAATTGACTCTGCTGATCCTTTCCTCATAGTCTCTGTAGGTTTATTTCCAGTTCAAACAGAACTCCCAAGTTCATTTTACAGTATTGATGATTTATTATTACTCTTTCAAAAAAAGCTTGTTGGTGTCACACCATATATTTATTGGTAAGATATATGAGAATAACATTTCTTTCAGGTTAAAGGCAGTGGGCCCATGGCAACAGTACTCCCTGTCATTTCTGAAAAGTCCAAGCATATAAATGAACTTGTTACAAATCAAAAGATAACTAGGAAAAAGACTTCACACAGGTATATATCTTTATGTGACACTAAAAATTTCAGTTTGGCTTAAAGCACATGGATCTTTTGAAAGTGAGAAATTCAAGACATTGTTCATAAAACCAAATTAATGAATACTCTGGGAAGTAAAGTAGAATTATATTTCATCATGGGAAAATATAATCTCCTGTTTGTCACTCAACCATGACACTTCTATTGTGAAAAAGTACATAGACTTATTAATTCAAACTTCTTCAATAATCATTTGTAGAACAATCACATGCTTACTTTACTAACAGACAGCAAAATTAACAGCAAGATAGGAGTTCAGTTATATATTATCTATATGGATAGATTTTTAAAACGTTTACAGTATAATCAAAGGATTTTGTCAGTCATACAAACTAGGAGAATTGGTAGGAAAAAATAAAACTCTTGAGTAGGTGATTTTGTGAAAAGATGATAGGGAAAAGTGGTTACTGTATTCACCCATAAACTTAATTTTTTAGTTAGTGATGTTAAATTGGTATTTTGGTGCATATAGCACATAATATGAAAATAAAACAAATTCTGGTGCTGTTTTTGAAATGACCCATTCAAGTACCCAGTGTCGAGTAGTAGTGCATGCAGGAAGCAACTACCTTTTCTGTCAGTGAAAAAGTCTGTTGCTAAAAATTGACCTAAGCGGTTTTTCAAATATTTGACTGATTCAGTTGTGTGCTTTATTTTAATCTGCAAGGTCATGTTATTAATGCTAAAACATTTTGTAGGCAATCCTTTCCCATTCAACAGAGGAAACATCTCCAATATCAAAATCCAGTAATCACAAATCCTTACAAACAACCTGGTACACAACCTCAACGCCACAAGATTTTTTATCCACCAAGCGAGAGCAGTTCCTCATATCAAAGCTATCCTGAGAAACCAGTCCAAAAACCAGTTGATGAACCAGTCGAGAGACCCAATCTGCAACCAGTTCTGAATACAAGTACACCTGAAAATCGTGAACGAAATCCCTCTAAGTTGAATTTAGCGACAAATAAATTGCCCGAGAAGAGCCCAGATATTTACAAGAGGATTGTTGATAGTCATATGCCAAAATCTAGCTCAAGTGTTGAAGAAAAGAGGTGGGTAAAAGGTTTCATCTTATCAAAGGTGTGCGGTCTACTGACTGTTGTTTGAATGTTGGGAAATAATTTAAAACATTTTTCTTTTGATATTGTTGTATGGTTTTTTTTATTCCAGTGATTCGCAAAATTCCCCTGGCTGTGGCAGAACTAAAAAACTTTTATTCGATAGAATACCGGCTGAGGTAGGCGATATTCAAAGCAATGTCCCTCTACCAATAAGAGAAAATCTAAAGTTTTTGATAGGACAACATGAAAATGGGATATGGTGTGCAGATCTTCCCAAACTCTATAGGTAAAAACGCCACTTATTCATGCATTTAAAAAAATGATTTGTTTCTAAATATCACTTCTAGAAAAATGTATTGCTTGTCTACAAGTATTCTGAGAAAATGTGGCAGTTTTATGAATAATAAAGATCTTGAACCTGATTATAGGAATTCCAAGAAACAGAAATGAAAATTAAATCGTCAAGTGTTGATAATACATTTTAATGAATTTGTTTCAGTCATGTTATTAGTAATATTGATCTTATATTTTCCTTTTATTTCAAGTCAATTAATAGCTTAATATTGCTAATATTCCACTTAATTTCCTTCTCTTCTACTGTAGCAGACCATGCTTCTTCCAAAAACAAAATAGTGAAATCTTCCAGCCCTAAAAACGCCAAAACTTCGTGCTACTTCTTTAAAATGTTTCACCTAGCTACTCATCTTTTGGAGGAAGAGTGGTAATTTTAAATGAGATTGGTAATTTTAAATATTACTTCAATTAATGTAATGTTTATGACAACAAGCCTGTTCCAACAGAATAGTTCAGAACTAGTTCTGAACTGTAGTTACCTCGCACATGTGCAGAAAAATAATTCAGAATTAGTTCAGAACTAGTTCGGAACTGCTTGTTAGAACAAACCTTCAGTTATCTTGATATTTTTTTTTTCAGGTCAATGTTTTGCAAGGATATAAACTATGAAGATTTTGGTTATGCAAGCTTGAGCCAACTTTGCATATCGTTACCCTCAATATTCCACTATTGTCGTCCTTCTGATTCTGATTTCAGATTGTATGATAGAAACAAACCCTTGCCACCAAGTGCAGAGACAAAATTCACTGTTGCCAGTTATACAGTTGGAAGTAAAAATCTAAATGAAGGTGAAATCTGTGCTTTGCCAAATATTGAGGTAAGGAGCATAATATAATAGGATCTAGAAGCTTATTTATTAAGGCTGTGTTAAAATTTCAAGGTTCAGGCATTTTTTTACTTTTCATCCCAGCCACAAGGCTTTGAACATATTGTGTGTAACTTAGATTAGAATGTAACTGGCATGTGTCTTAATTTGTCATGGGGCGCAATTTGAAGTAGATAATTGTGAAATTTTACTATACCTGGTGGCACTCGCAATGTCAAGACAAATCTAGAAACACCTCATGACTGTAGCCCGTGTAATAGGCATTTCAGCGTTTATTTTTGACTAAATTCCACCATTTTGTTTTTATAAAATTTAGCCAGTGTGTAAAATAGAATTTTTCTGTTTGCTTTCTGACTACTGTAACTATGACCCACCGCAGATCATGCTGT